ATTTGAGGTGAGTCTTCTCATTATACTTACCTGTGTTGTAATTCGTGTGTGACTGGAGGGTCTTATTCTTGTTGATGACCGGAGGGTCGTATTTACACTATTGACTGGAAGGTCTTAGTATATTATTGACCGGATGGTCACTGTACATTGTAGACCGGAGGGTCTTAGCACATTATGGACCGGAGGGTCTTGTTTGTTTATAATGTGATATATATTATCGTGCATATTGTCTTTGTGACTTATGCTGTTATAGTAATCTGTGTAAATATTGATCTTATATGCTTACCTGAGTTATGTGATAGTATGCATTTTATATGTGCATATGTTGTGTGTTGAGATATCCTGCTTATTGTTGTTGTGATATGTATATTGTAATTAATTGAGTTATCGAGTTGAGGGACCGGAGGGTCCATCTGAGTTGTGGAACCAGAGGGTCCCACTGAGACACATTGACCGGAGGGTCTTATTGTGAGTATAGCCATGAGGGCTAATGGGATGTGTGTGGTATTTTGGGGAACTCACTAAGCTTCGTGCTTACCGTGTTATTGTTATGTGTTTCAGGTACTACTCAGGATCACGGGAAGGCGCCGGCTTGATTGTACACACGAGATGAAGTTATGTTTATGAGGATCCTGGATTTTATTCAATTAACTATGAACATGTGTTTTTGATAATTTGATATTTGGGGATTTGTAATATATGTTGACGAGATTCATGTGATTTTAAAAATGAAAAGTTTGTTTGAAAATTTACGGTGTTACAATAACCAAGTATTAGATATAAATAATTTTCTACCATTATTTTTTGCTAAAATACATGAGTACTAACCCACCGTTAAAGGCAAAAATTAATTGAAACATATAATCCAGGAACTACTGACACTTTAGAAAAAAAAGAATATCACACCTTAGAGATAAATTCATTTGAGATAAATTAAATGAATGATGTGGTAATGCAATTTTAGCTAAAGTAACTAAAGGATTAAGAAAAAGAATTTCACTATGTTGTGACAAGCCAAAGATTGTCACTTATGATAGGATGTGATAGTTCATATTACTATGGAAAAATAAAAAGAAAGTTTAAAAAGAAAAGACTATATAAAAAGAAATATTTTACAAGAAGAAAAACAAAGTATTATAAAAGAAAAGGTTAGAAGAAAACATATAAATATATATATATATATATATATATATATATATATA